ATACATTGAATGGGCTTTTGTTCTCGCGCTGTCCTCCCATACTCTTCGCCACCAAAGTAATGATCGCCTTTTTAAGCCAACTCCGCTTTTTTCACAAGGGACACACTTTCTGCGACCCTCTGTGATCCATTCGCGCGAACAAGCCTGGCGCGTCGACTCCCCCCCCGTCCTTTCCCCACGCCGGCGGTCACGTGCTCATCACTCCTTTGAAGACGACGATAAAACTCTGCTACCTCCTGTCTTATGGCTCCATCGACCATATCTCGGGCTGTACGACCGTCTACGAATGCTATATATGTCGTATCTCTTGGGCACGGCGGGGAGAAGGCCTTTGGATAACGCGCTTTCGCTCGCAAATGGACTTGGTCGTGTGCGTGGTCGTGAAGTTTGGAACAGGTGGTGGGACGATTGAATGTGTTTGGCTAACGAGATGTCGATTTGCAGTCGCTGGCGGGTGTGTACCCTGTGGTTGTTGCGGGACAGGTGCGTGTTTTTGTCCATATAGGCTCTCCGAAGTAACTGAAAAGTCCTTTCACTAGTAGGCACTCTTGTCAACTTGCTGACAAGCGGGCGCGTATGGGCAGACACGTTGGCGGTTGTTCCTGCAGTCAAGATCGTTGCTCATTACTGTCCTCCATGTATCTCTACATACTGAATAACATCATTTTGCTTCCTGCGTCTCCAGGTCTAGGTTATAACAACTATTGTGTCTCTATCAAAAGCACAAACTGATTGTTCTCCTCCCACTCCCGGAACTCGGCTTGCAGGTCTTCGCCCAGAGGACACCGTACGCCTGTTGTGAGTTTCAAACTGAGATGGAAGAGATATGCGGAGTGGATTGCGTCTAGATGCAGCTTCCTACACTGTGCAAACTTCTTCAAGACTCCCTCCGTGAAGGCGAAACGACCAGCGAGTGAAAATAAACCAAGGCGGGGCACCAGTGCCGGACCGTTAGCGACACGGTCATTGCCCGGCGCGTACAGTGTGAGGCGTGCCAAAAGCTCATCCGTCACGAGTGGCGGAAGGTCAGCCTGAGTCTCGTACGAGTCTACAAGGTACAAGTCCTCCAGAACTTCAAGTTGTGCAAGAATATTGCAGAGGTCGCTTGTCGCTAAAGGTAGGTCGATACTGAGGGATAATAGAGATTGTCCGAGCTCCGAACGCTGGACGAAGCTGCAGAATTCCGCTTGGTTCCAACATGGGTGGATCGTTGTCACCGGCGAATGTTCCTTCAGTATCAATCGCGTCAGCTCGGGAAAGCAGAGCGAAGCGAGCACGCGTCCCAGACTGTGGGTGGTATCTGGGATGTCCGCTGTCCGAACCCGCAGCGTCAGCAGCTTACTCGCCACCCTTTGCGGCTGTATCAGCGCCGTCGGCGGGTTGTTATTCAGCCCAAGATATAAGTCCAGCAGTAATGTGCTGCCAGATGGAAGGCTGTCCAGGCGCAAAAAGCAGAGATGGGCCGGATCGAAGGGCGTCTTATGCGTGTAGAACGAGAAGTGTTGCAATTGGCTCCATGGGAGTGCAACGATGCAATTTGCCAGTCCGGTATACACCACCGTTTGTAGCCGCGGGGCATTCGAGAAATAGTCGAATGCAGGGGATGGTGGCGACGGCCAATAGTCAGGGGTGGTAATATCCAAAAATTCTAGGCAGTCCAAACGGTTTTGGATAGGAGCGAGCAGCGTCAGTGTCTTGGCATTGAAATCCAGAGTAATGTCCTTCCACCGGGGTGATTGCTTTATGAGTGACTCTAGCAAGCGACGAAGATGTGTGTATCTAGCACCATCCGTCCAGATGGAGGCCCACGTTGCTTTGACTTGTAAAATCAGCGGATATTGACCGCCTCGAGACGAAGCCATTTCAACCAAGTTCAACGATGTTTGCAATACAGCCATTGACGTGGTCAAAAGACGGCCATTGACAACAAGCTGGCTCCAAAGACTTGGCGTTGCTAGTGCTACTTCCCGCCAGCGCAAGGAAACCTGGGGGGAATCAGCGCTTGCCGATGTCACTCATGAGACGAAGATTGAACTCACTTGCGCGAGAGAGTGAAGGTTTGGATTGACCACCTTCCTCAATGCCTCTCGAGGGTCTATGATTGCCTCCATAGTGTCGCACATCTCCGCAGGCGACACGAGTACACATAGCTCAAAGATGTATGCTAGAATCTCGATGGGAAGCTGGCGGATAGATGATGTCAGAAGGCTTTTGCACTGAGCTTGGTATGACACAGCTCGAGCGCGTTCTTCCTCGGCCGTCCGAAGCAGTTCTTCGAGCCGAGCAAGGTGAGCATCGTAGTCGGCAATAGTCGCAGTCACAGCATCGAGTTTGGCAGACATGTCCGAAGGAGTTGGAAGATTCGAGCGACTTATGGAGCGGAGGTTTTCGATTTGGGAGGCAGAAGGCAGGCCGATCGCCTCCGGGCGGAACGAACAGACAAAGCAGTTTGTCATGGCGGTTAGTGGTGAACTTGAAAGTGTGATCCGTGACCACATTCCTCTTCTGCACCTCCACCACAGCCCTTCCGGCTCCGAGGACCCGTCGACCCCTTCTCCCCTACCCACATACTCATCGTGCACTAGCTACATGAGCAGCCGGGTGCGTCTCACGGTTCGCCACGCCAGGTTTGGCTGACTTTGCTCCGCCTCAGCAGACTGTCTTTCTTGCTTATGCTGAGCGGCACTACTGCCCCGACCAGTGACGGGCGCAGGCTCTTGGGAGACGGGAACTCAGTGTGGCTGGATAGTGGATTGTCGGTGTTAATGGTGCGTCAAAGCATGACATTGTCTTCCTCTCTTTCGTTGACACTTTTATGCGCAGATGCCCTCGAATCCCCCGTCCGATGACTACAAAGGGGACAGCACATTCAATATTGCCAACTTACGAGGCCTGCGCTGCCAGGAAATACTCGCCGGTCCCACGACAACGACCGGGAAACAAGCTCCAGCTACGACTGGGTACGGCAGAGAGGAGAGAAACTCTCTCTGAAACGGCCGGCGTTGGTGCGTCTAGCATCCTTATCGCAACTGCCAGTAGTCTTACTATGCTTTTAGGCAGACTGGAAAGCGCCAGCGCTATAGCCTCCTGGTAGCGCATCCACCAGGCATGAGCAACATTACCGTGTCTGGTGCCTCGTCATATTCCCTCCTCTGTCCTGTCAACACCTTTGCGTCCGTCTTTCCTGCAATACGGTCTGGAAGAGGCGCTGTTCTCCTTGAAAAGAGGACTATTTTCGCCCATTGCCCCCAAATGATGACCGTCGCGACAACCCAGTCCAATACCATACTTCGCCCATATACAACACCCACTCGTTTCTCCAAATCTGCGCAAGCCCAACTCCTGCTTTTCGGGTCATTTGCAGAGCCTATCCCTGCTTTGACGACACCTTTTTGTCGACTTTGAAGTCGCATGGCCTACGCCTCTAACGACTGCATCCCATGGCTCATTCGACATCATTTGCGCTGCTCAATCACTTTCAGGTACCGCAATCGGCGAGAAGGGTCTCGTTGACGCCGTTTTCGATAACGATGACGTTTGCACTAGTATCGACTTTGCTTCCATCTTGCAAGCAACGACTACCCCAGAATTTTTCTCTCGATAGCCCTTTGCATATACCCTCGTCCATCACGTGTGGGCCCCGCGTCATCCCTCTACGGTCGTGTTCGACATGGTTCGTGCAAGTACACCATCGCTCCCTTCTAAATGCGCTTTCTATTACAAGCTATCATGATGTAGGCATGGGTATCATAGCAAACAACGATGAAAACAAGTAGAACGACTAATGAGGAAGAAAAACTTGGGGATGGATGAGAAGAGGAGTATCGAAAGGAAGTAGTGCGAGTAGCCGAGGTCATTGTCAGATACAAAATGGCATGTCAGGAGACTTTGCAACTTTTCGCCTCCGTGAGCTGACAGGATAACGCCGTGCCCAGTGCGCACCGTTGCCGCCAGAAGCGACCAGCGGTGTCCGCAGGGATAGCATCGTTCCTCGGAGTCCACGCTGGGCGTCGTTTGCGGAGCACGGGTCTTGGGCGCGAGCAAGCCGAGATTGCAGAAGAAGCGAAGGAGAAGTGGACAGGAAGGAGGCAAGGTCTGGGATAGGGATATTGGCGTTTGGCGGGCGGTAAGGATGTGGTGTGGTGTCGCCGCTTAATGCTGGACTGGAGAATTTGCTCTTCGATTTCACCCTTCCCGGCGTCGCCCCGAGCTGCTACCATGATGGTCGCTGCGCCGTGTTATGGCGAAGGCAGCAAAGCGGGCGACGTCGTGGATATAGAGCTCGTCGTCGTGAGCGGCGTTAACGATGGTTGGGGTGTCGCAATGATGAGCGGCCATTGCAGCTCGCCTTTGAGTGGATCCAGCCGTCGCTGCCAAGGAGGGCTCGCAGTTGTGAGTGAGCCGCGGCAGGCATAAGTGCAGGCGAAACGCCGGTGACTGTCATCGTGGTCGGTCACCCATCTTCATCGTCAATTTGGTGGGGGACAGGTTGCCCACAAGGGCTGCAGTTCTGCATATAGACCTGGGCTGGCCGTTGGCGACATAGAGCTCGGCCGGCGGGCGAGGGATGTCTGGGTAGGTAGTTTCCCATTTGTCGTGTCTTTCCAAAATGTCAGCATGGAATGTGAATGCAGAGCTCAACAACGCACTTGATGTGCGCCCTCGCGCCCTTCCCTGCGCCCAGTACGTTTCCTCCAATGCTCCCTTTAGTGCTGGCTGCCGACAGAACGACCACAAGGCTTTCGCCTCTGTAACTCCGTCAGCACGGCTTCCCAAATCCGCCTGGGCAAAGACGGCCACGCACGATGATCGCGCGAGGCTGCGGATTCTCCACGGCCGCGTGCATTGGGGCGGATAACGTGGTCGACGGAGGAGATGTCTTGACGGTGGTGGTGCTGAAGAGAAAGTGTCACAGCATCTGTTGCTTGATTCGGAACGACCACTTACCGCTCTGACATCCGACTGAAGCGCACAATGTTGGCGGCGCTGACAAGCCTCAAATGCTGTCTTCATGCTGTCGTGGCAGCATCATGCTGTTTCTTCTCGCCGTCCTCTCGTCGACCCGCGCTCAGCTTGGGGCCTTTCGCCGCTCCGCTTTGCAAGATGATCTCGAATGCACCGACATAAACGCCTGCAGGCGGCTCTTCGACATCGTCTGGGGCTGTCTGGTGACGATCTTTCTCTGTATATGGGTCTCCGTCCACCCAAATGTCCCGCCTCCCCGTCTCGCGCGACCACAGAATGCAGCTGGGTTTCGAAGCTGGCTGAAATGGCAGGTTGTCGGCAAGAATGGACCGCTGCTGCGTCGGCTGAAGCTCATGTCGGTGGCACTCATTGCGCCTGAGCTCATTCTTCGCTTTGCGGCCAGACAATGCTTGATGGCGCGGTCTTTCTCACAAGGTGTGGCTCGAATTTGCTCTCCTTCAAGTGTTGACCCCTCCTTTAGACTACGGGGTCCCGCTGACCCATGGCTTCTTCATCGTTATGGGCGGCTTTGTCGATGTTGATGAACATCCTATTGTGACGAAGGAGCAACTGTCGACACCAAATGTGGTGCAAGAAATGCACGCCGTCAAAGAGTCCGACATCGATGACAAGAGCAAAGGGGACCTGTTCTCGAAAGGCATTGCCCTTTGTCAAGGGCTTTGGTTTATCGCCCAGTGCATCGCACGAAGGCTGCAGCGGCTCCCTCTAACGTCGCTCGAAGTGGCCACATTGTCATTCGCGGTGCTCAACGCGCTGACGTGGCTATTCTGGCTGGGTAAGCCGCTCGATGTGCGCAATCAAATCAAGCTTCCTGTCCGCACCAGCCCCCCAAACCACACCGCCAGCCCTCCGTACCCCGCCAGCGCCTCGTGGCTCGACCGCTTCCTCAGTGTATTCGTAAACGCCTACCACGAGGCCGACTACGATCCCCTGTCCAACACGGCGGTTCCCACGTTCTGGTGCACCACCGTATCCAATTACATCGACATCCGCAACTCCACGCGAGCGCATTGGCTGTCGTGGACGCTCACGGACGCGATCCCGTTTTTGTCCGGGACGCTGTTTGGCGGCATCCACTGCCTCGCGTGGTGCGCCGCGTTCCCTTCCCCTGCCGAAATGTGGCTCTGGCGTAGCTCCGCGCTGGTACTAACTGTGGCACCCCCGGTCTTCCTCGCGGCCTCGCTACTGTATACCATTTCTCCGGAGGGCATGCTGGGCTTTGTCGGTGTGTATTCGGTTGCGCGGGGCATCCTCCTGGTGTTGCCGTTGTCCGCGCTGCGACTGCTCCCACTGGCGGCATTCAGAGATGTAGATTGGAGTGTCTATATTCCCCACTTGTAGTTGATGGTCATGATAACTTCAAGTTTACCGGAAAAATACACCAAAAATTCATTGTTTATTCAAGTCTCTTCCGACGTGTCTGAACATAGCGTTCTGCTACCTCATTCGTAGTCTTTCCCAAGCCCATATCTGTCCACACTTTCTGATGCAACACACGCAACATATATTTGAGCAAGTCCTCAGGAGGGCTGGCCAGGCGGACAAAGCGCAAAGGAGCCAGCTTGACTGCGGCAACGAGAGACTTGTCGTTGGCATCATAAAGTCTGTTCTCAAAACACAACGAGAGGGATTCCAACTGGGGGACGTCGCCAATGATATCCCTGAATGATATGCCGCCAATGGATGGGAGGTTCATGAGCTCCAGCGAGGCAAATCGCGCGGAGTGCTGGCCGAGTTTGAGCGTGTGGATCGCTGCGTCAAAGAAGCGCTCGGTCCAGAGCGAGACATGCAAAAGGCAGTTTTTGGAGAGCCGGAGATGTCGGGATACGGTGGCTTTCATAGCTTTGGGGGTCATGTATGTCTTGTTTTTGTCCAAGTACTGTAGCATTTTATTCAGTTCGTATGTCACGTGTCACAGTAGCTATAAAATTCGAAATTTTTTCGTATGTCACACCATTTTGCTCAAAATCCTCTCCCAAAAAGGCAATTTATGACATTTCCGGGCGCCTCCGGCGCCAAGAGTTTCCTAATTAGGAAATAATTCGAATTGATATTTTCGTATTGAATGTCACACCACTTTTGGCATTCGAATTGAATAAAATACAACAGTATATGTGAATGGTCGTCCAGAGGCCCGCGGCTGGTGAGGATAACTTCGTTCCAAGTGCGAGAGACGAGGCGGAGGGCGGTCATGCTTCTCTTCCAGAGGGTGTTTCGCTCCGGAACACTCATGTTGATGAGCTCGCTTGAGGCCCACCACCCCGCATTCGCCAGCCTTGGATAAACTTCGTGGTGTTTGCTGTGGAATTCGAAAATGGTGCTCCAGATTTCGAGGGGAAGGTTGAAGGAGCGGCGATGCTTGAGAGTATCGCCTGGTGCCAGACGCGACATCGCTCAGAGAGGTGTGTTTAGGAAGGAGATTGTGGCGGCAGGAGCCAAAACGCGGATCCGGAGAGTCACTCCCAGTATATACGAGAATAGTAGGACTGGGACTCGCACAGTAGGACTCAGTCCTACTTTGATGGGTCCCAGTCCTACTCCCGCGGCCCCGGAATGGGACTCGCATCCCGCATATCAACCCCAGGTGATGGATCGACAACCATCGCATCAACGGGGTTGCGGCGCCGGCCGCGGCGGCCGGGGTTTTCCACCCCGGACCCCGACCAGGGGCTTCGCCCTGGACCCACCCTGCCGGGGGCTTCCGCTCGCCGCGGGGCCCGCTGCGCGGAGCGTGGCATCTCTTTTCAGCTGATTTCATTATTTTTTGACAGGGTTGCGCGCGACGGCCGGGGTTTTCCACCCCGGACCCCGACCGAGGGCTTCGCCCCGGACCCCACGCTGCCGCGGGCTGCCGTTCGCCACGGAGGCCCGCTGCGCGGTGCGTGATCCATCTTTTTATGATTGATATTCTGATTTTCGTTGACTTGTTAGGGCTCGGCTATGTGTTCTCGGCGCCGCGAGAATGGGACTGGGCCATCAAAGTGGGACTGAGTCCTACTCTGTGAGTACCACTCCTACTATTCTCGTTACTGCTCAGTCACTCCGGAGTCACACCATCGTGACGTCTTCCCAAACCACCACCAGCCACTGGATAGCGCCGCCCCCTCCGTATTGGAAGATGGCTCATACGGCCGCTCGCCCTTCCGTTGACCGCGATATCCGTCATCCCAGTACGTGGCTTCTCTAGACAGTCACACAGCTTTTCTCATGCTAACTCCCCGTTTCCGAGTCAGCAGCAATATTCACGCAACACTACTGATACGACACCGTTTTTCGAAATGAATAGCTTCCATATGAACGATTCACCATTCATTCTCGTATCGCTCTATGACTGCCATGGTTTGCGCTCTTGCCAGTGTGAAGGCGACGGGTGGTAGAATGTGTCTGTTTGGGGAGGCAAACTGGCCCGTCGAGGCGGAGCATTGTACGTTTATCATGGATGTGTTTGCCTATCTTTCTCTGACACTTGCATAGATATACTGCATATGTCTTTTTAAGTATCAAGGATGAGCTAGTCGTGCTGCGTTGCGACTTCTTTTTGTGCCGTATCTGTCGACTGTGTCATGTCCGAGTCTGTCTACTGCAGATAACGGTCGCGGGCCATGTAGCACTCGCAATGGGATAGTTCTGAATACGCATTGGCAGTGACATGCTCTATTTCCTCAGATTCCTCTGTCCTTTCGTTCTCTCGCTCATCGACTCTCATCACTTTGGGCAATTGTTAATCTCGGGATTCTACCAGTGTGTGGTACTGTTCATACTTTTTGCGTAAGCGATGTGTAAGTAATCTATGTATCTGCATATTCTTCATTGAGCTGAACTTTAAACTGTTGCTAGTGTTTTGATTCGGCATATTTCTAAATTCTCTCCCCTTGCGACTTGGCTTGCGGAACAACCACCCCCTCACGATTACCATCTACTGCTTGCTCTTCGCCACTGCAGTCAACGTGACCGCGCCGTTGCAGTTCGCTGCGACAATACGGCTCCCCTTCTCCACGAACTCATAGTAGTGTGATGCCACAGTGAGACCACGAACAATAATGCTCTGCAGCTTTGTCTGGTGAGGGACTCTTTTGCGCCAGACATCCGTGAAAGCCGCGATGTTGCCAAAGAGTTTTCGTTCACGCGAATCGCCGGGTTTCAGGTTATAGTGCTTGCACACAACTTCATAGATGATGGTGTGGAGGCGGCCGAAGACCGGATCAGGTAGTCTGTGCTGCTTCCGGCTGCAGCTTAGAGCCAACAAGTCATGTATCAGGTCGTGCGCAGATGGTTTCTGCTCATACAATGGTTGCTTCACGTCGAGCTGGCGCAGAGCCGGGAGGTTGTCAAGAAGGCACATGAGGCTGGGTCCATCGATATTGACAACATATTGCAAAGCAAGTGTGGTAACGCCGCTGTAGTTCTGCATCAGTCGGCCGCCGACAACGGCAAGTTCGCTGTGGTACTGGTACAGACAGAACTGGTTCTCGGAACCTGCAGTTATTATGAGATGCTGCAGCGATGGGACAGCCAGCACAGCTAAGTAGGTGGACCAGCTCGGTAATTGGTTATCAATTATTAAATGCTTTAACCCACGGTGAGTAATGGCTGCATGGGTCACGGGCGGGATCAACCTGGACCGGTGGATAAACTTGAACAGACTAGCGGATTCGACTTTCGCAGCAGCTGGATGTGCGAGATAGTAGACAAGGAGGTCAAGAGTGTCGCAAGCGAGAAAACGGATGTCGGCCCAGTTGATGTGGTCCCGCAACTCCCTGGCGGCATGGCCGAGTGGGTCCCCACTGGCAAGGCTCAAGTTGCGCAATGGCGCTTTCTTGATGGCAGCGAGGAAAGATTTCCCATGAACCACGGGTACATGTGACTCGGAGGATTGAGAGAAGCGCTGGAGATGAGAAAGGTCGAGAATATTCAGCTTGTCGATGTAGCGTATGTTGACAAGATCCAGGGAAACGAAGCGCCCCGAGTTTTCAAAGAGGGTGCGCAGGACTGGTGATGCGACGTCGACAAATGGATCATACTCCTTGTGATTGTTAGTGCCAGCGAAGAGAATGACTCTAAGGAGGCGCTGCTGCGACAGTTTGAGATGTTCTTCGAGCACTATTTGCCAGTGCCCGGTTTGTCTGTTTAGGCGTGCCGGCTCCATGCAAAGTAGAATCGTCGTCCAGAGCGCGCTGTTGCACATGACCATCTGTTTCCAAGCGCGACACACAAGTCGGAGGCGGTAGTGTACCGTCATGCATCGCCAGAGAAGATCGTCAGATCTAATGGGGTAGAGCAGCCCATGCGAGTTTCGGACATCGGCGGTAGCGTACAGTTGAGCTCTTTCATGGTCAATTTCAAAGATACGGTCCCAAATTTCAGGGTGGAGGTCAGGATAGCTGCGGGAGTGGTCGTCCTGTTCTCCAGGGGTAGTTTGTTGGGTCAGACGCGACATCGGCGCCAGCTACGTGGCTGTAAGAGAAGAGTCTGTCACGCCTGAGTCATCGACAAGTCACATCATGATTCAAGTCAAGATTCAAGTAAGTCTCTGGATCGTCTGCGGCCGGACTCAGGCTGCGTCAATGGCAACTTGCGAGTGGTCCTGAGATGGGTAGACAGGCGGCGAGACAAAAGGCATACTTAAAGGCGGGTAGATTATGCACTGGCATATGTGTATAGCAACAAGTCCACGTTAGTAGGCAACGGCAAGCCGAGTTCGTCTTCGGCTGCCCCAGTAACAACTGCAACGACGTACTCATCAGCATCCCTATTACTGAGCTGACATCGATGCTAGCTTGAAACCAGTAGATCTGCGCCAAACCGGATGCCGCAGTAGTCGGAGTAGATGGAGGTGTTTTGAGATAGACTTTGTTCGCGTCGCAAGCAATAACAGGGAGCGAGAAGGAGGACCAGCTAGTTATCGTCTTTAATCGTTGACAGATTGAATAAGCCCAAGTTCACGCACTGTGCGGGCCATGTCGTTGACGGAATAGTATTGGCACAAGGAATCCACGCGTCGCGAATTTGCGGGATGGCAGCCGCGAGGCCTGAGTAAGTAATGAGCCTGAGGAGACTGAAGGCCAGCGAGAGACCGCCGGGCAATGCACCCATCAACACACCAGTCTCCTTCGCCAATATTTATTCGTCTCCTTCCTGCTTTCCTTGAGCCCAGTGTTTCCAGCAACTACCTTGCGCCTTCCGGCTCTAGCGCAAGGCAGGGTTTCCCTTGGTGTTCGAGAAGTTCGCATGGCCGCAGGGTTAACTAGTATCGCGCAAAGACCAGAGGGGATTGACATTGCTGGGTAAGCCGTGGCCCGTCAGAAAAGTGCCACAGGTAGAGACCGTTGCTATACACACCT